CCCAGTTAGCTCAGCAGCAGTTGCCGTATCACACCTAGTGGCAGCGAGGGTGAGTTCCGTCGTTGCTGGCTTTGTTAGTTCTCATTTGCTTCTCTTGCTCAGGTGAGCTACATGGAGATCTACTGTGAGCGGGTACGAGACCTCTTGAACCCCAAGAGTCGGGGCTCTCTACGGGTCCGGGAGCACCCCATCCTGGGCCCCTACGTGCAGGACCTGTCTAAATTGGCTGTGACCTCCTACGCAGACATTGCAGACCTCATGGACTGTGGAAATAAGGCGCGGTGAGGCGGGCTGTCGGGCTGGAGGGCAGGGGAGCCGGGATTGGGAAGGTGGCGGGCAGGACCCACTGACCCCTCCCTCCCCTCCAGGACTGTGGCCGCCACCAACATGAATGAGACCAGCAGCCGTTCCCATGCGGTCTTCACCATCGTCTTCACTCAGCGCTGCCATGACCAGCTCACTGGGCTGGACTCAGAGAAGGTGGGACCCCCTCCCCCCATTCCAGCCTGGTAACAGGGACATGATGTCATGATTGGGCCCTGTGTCCTCCCTCCCTGGCCACGCTGGGTTGAGTGCCTTCTCCTGAGGACTTTCACAGCCCCTTATTTCCCCTATCAGACCAGTGGGGAACAGTCTCCTGTTTGCATGTTTGTTTGCATGTTAAACTTCTTGGGGCAGGACTGGAGCCCAGTGTGTCCCTTGTCCAAGCACACAGTGGGCTTGTAAATATCTGTGAATGAATAAATGAACAAACAGACAAGTAACCAGACCTTCTCTATCGTGTTCCCTTTTCTCCTGTCCCCTTCCGTCCCCAGCTCCTGGCTTTCTCCATCCCAAGCTAACTGCCCGGTCCCCTTGCTGGGTGTTCCCCTGACTTGCCTGCCCCACCCCCACTGACCCAGTCACCTCCTGCCTCTTTCCTCTGACCCAGGTCAGTAAGATCAGTTTGGTGGACTTGGCTGGCAGCGAGCGGGCCGACTCCTCGGGGGCCCGGGGCATGCGCCTGAAGGTGAGGGGGTTTGAGAGGGACAGATGGGGCAGTGCTGGGGGCTGTGTGCGGCAGTCTCTAATCATAACCTGGGACTCTGGCTGTGAGAACGGAGGGGAAGGGGATGGGGGTGAGAAAAGAAGGCCTCATTCCCCACATTCCTCATCCCTTGCCAGGAAGGCGCCAACATCAATAAGTCCCTGACTACCCTAGGGAAGGTGATCTCAGCCCTCGCGGATATGGTAAGACCTGGGCGTAGGAAGAGGAGGGGCTCTGGGAAAGCCAAGCAAGGCCAAGGGGTGGCCCACCCTGACCCCCTTCCCCCTTCTGTCCCCCAGCAATCAAAGAAGCGGAAGTCGGATTTTATCCCTTACAGGGACTCTGTGCTCACCTGGCTGCTCAAGGAGAATCTGGGTGAGGGTCTCCCCCTCCTCTCTCTCTGTGCCGACCCTGCCACCAATCCTGCTAATCCCCTTTGATACATCTGACCAGTCCTGTTGCTGCCCCTAGAACCTCAAATCCTCCAGTTGTCCGCTGACTCTCCCCCTGACCCGGGGGCATCCTTTGATGGTGTCCTGATGCCGAGATCAAGCCCGCACCCTCCCTGCCAAGCCGAGGGCCTCACTGATCTGGCTGCCCATGACCCTTCTCTGACCCCACACCCACCTCTGACTTGATCCTCCTCCCACTGACCTCTGACTGTCCCGCAGGTGCTTGATGTCTCCCTGGCCTCACCCCCACTTCCTCTGAGCACCTGATTTCATGATTAGCTCCACAACTCTTAGCTTCACCCTACCTCAGACAGTGACCCTATTGTATCCTTGCCTGAGCACTGAGGCCCCCTGACCCTGTGACCCAGTCTGACTTTTCTTAGGACCCCACCCGGCTCAAACGTTCCCCTCCTCTCTGTTTGTAGGTGGCAACTCACGTACAGCGATGATTGCAGCCCTGAGCCCCGCAGACATCAATTATGAGGAGACTCTAAGCACCCTCAGGTGGGGCTCTGGCTGGGCTGGGGCATGACACGAAAAGTGCCGGGAGCTCAGAGGCTGGTCGCTCAGGACCCTGCCCCTGAGACAGGGTGGACCCTCCACTCTGCCCAACTATGACAAAACCTGGGAAGGAGAGGGAATCAGGCGGCAGACCAGGGTCACCCGAGTCTGGGCCGCGCCGATTCCGACCCTCCCTCCTCACCCAGGTACGCCGACCGCACCAAGCAGATCCGCTGCAACGCCATCATTAATGAGGACCCCAACGCCCGGCTGATCCGAGAGCTGCAGGAGGAGGTGGCCCGGCTCCGGGAGCTGCTGATGGCGCAGGGGCTCTCTGCCTCTGCCCTGGGAGGTGGGGCTCCGGGAGGGGCGGCTCAGGGAGGGACCGCTGCCCACGAAGCCCCACAGGTGCCCTGTGACAGAGCTACAGAAGTACAGAGGGGACGGATCGTGCTTTCAGCTGTCAGAACTGGAAGGGCTGAATCTCTGGGGGAGAGGTGGGCAGGATTCAGACAGCTCCTAGAGCTCCTGAAATGACAGGAGCAGGCGCTTATGGTTCAGACACTACATTGTTAAGAATAGGCTGCTGGGCACCTGCCTTGACAGAAGTTCTCTTGAAACGCTGGGAAGTAAGTTGATAATAAGCTGAACAAGAATCAACAGCAGAATGATTTCTAAAACGTCATGCTCAGCCTCTAACTTGGAGTGGCATCTGTGTTAGAGGGTCTGCGATCCGTGTTGGCTGCATCTGGTGCAGACTGTGCATTCAGTCTTAGGGTCCATCCTGTTGAAGAGTCGGGATGCTAAGGGACACAGCAGGGGAGAAAAAGGGTGTTAGTTCTGGGGCAGAAAACATAGACGTAACGTTCGCCTTCCCACGTTTGAAGGGTAGTCTCACAAAAGGAAAGGCAGTGTAGTCTTTGTCATCCCAGAGGGCAGAACTAGCAGCAGGTACACGTGACATGGGACAGATTTCAGCTCAACACAGCTAAGCCCTTTCTGATGGTGTGAGTCATCTGGTAGTGGAAAGACCTGGCTGCCTTGTTCAGTGATGAGCTCTCTATCCCTGGCGGGGAACAAGTAGAGACTCTGCGCATTTGCCATGGCTGCAGTGGGAGGGCTCTCTGCCTGGTGGTGGTGGACCAGATGTCTTCTGCAGTCCTTACAGGCTGGTCCCCTGGGAAGTCTTCTCTGTCTCCGATCAGTTTGTCTTTCCTTAGCCTTCTTTGACCTCTTCCTCCTTCCTAGGCCTGAAGGTAGATGAAGGGAGTCCTGGTGGTGCTCTGCCAGCTACATCACCCCCCCCAGCCCCAGCTTCGCCCTCATCTCCCCCAGCACACAACGGGGAGCTGGAGCCATCATTCTCCCCCAATGCCGAGCCCCAGATCGGGCCTGAGGAGGCCATGGAGAGGCTGCAGGTGGGAACTGGCGCTGGCAAGGGGCGGGGGTCTAGGGGCCGCTGGGAGTCTGGTTCTCCAGAGCCAGGGTTGAAGAGGAAGAAGGAATCCTCGGAGTAGCGTGGCTCCCCTGGTAGGTGCCTGTCCCAGCCTGTCCTGATCCCTGCCTGTCTTATGCCCCCAGGAGACAGAGAAGATTATAGCTGAGCTGAATGAGACCTGGGAGGAGAAGCTACGTAAGACGGAGGCCTTGAGAATGGAGAGGTGTGAGGGGCGGGACTGACAGCTGGAGCCCTGGAAGGGGCTGGCTGGGGAGGGAAGGTTGGGCCCTGCAGGAAAGGGGTTCCTGGGTAGTGATGGTAAGACCAATATTTGCCTCTCCTTTGCCTCCAGAGAAGCACTGCTGGCTGAGATGGGGGTGGCCGTCAGGGAAGATGGGGGAACCGTGGGCGTCTTCTCTCCTAAGAAGGTGAGTTGAGGGATCGGGCGAGGGGGCCTAGGAGACTCTGGATGCCGAGAGAAGAGTTTGGGGTCACAGGGTAATATACTCTGTGATCTCTGAGGTCTCCAAGTTGTCCCTCCACCGTCTCTGCCCCGCTCCTGCCCCTTCCTCTCTGTGTTGTCCCGCCATCCCTATTTTCTCCCTCATTCCGACAGCCGGAGAGGCGAGTGCTTAAATGCCTGTGGCCAGGGACTCTGGGGACCACAGAAGGATGCCAGGGTCCTTGCCTTTAGGAGGATTTCAGGAGCTGCTTAGAATCTAGGTATTTACAAACACAAACCCACGCACACATGTGTATGTAAGTTCGTGCTTAGAATTTATCTGTGGATTTGTGAGAAGCTGGTTACCCCAGGGGAAAGGGAAAAGATGTGGGAGATCGGAGGTTGGCTGAGACAGTGTTTTGTCCACTGTATGCTCTTTTGTATCATTTGAATCTTGTACCCTGTGCGTGTTACCTACTCAAAAACAAACAAACAGACAAACAAACCCTAAAAAAATACATTTTTGAAAGGATGCCTTGGAAGACAAGGCTACAAAGGGAATGGAGGGAGGAATAAGCCTTAAACTGTAAAATGCTGATTGTTAAAACAGTAAGAGGTTTAAAGATGGAAGCATCAGTGCAGCCTGGAGATATCTGGAGACTGATTTCCTGCAGAATAGGGTTTGGAAAGTGGAGTCTGAAAGATGGATTGGGGGTAGAGAAGCAGAACATCTGGCTGAGCAACCATGGGGCGTTGTCGGCCGAGTGGGACGCACCAGCACCTGTCACGTGTCCACCATGTAGTAAGTGCCCGGTAAGTCTCTGCAGAGAGGAAGGAAGGAAGGAAGCAGGACAGGAGTGATCAGGCTCTGTTGGAGACAGGAATGGTGTTCAAAACCTTTGACAACCATCATGGCCCAGGAGCCAACCAAGAGTGGCCGTCAACAGCCAGCACAGCTGGACTGTTGCACTCTGATGTAGGGATGATGCGGAGGCCAGTTTGAGCAAAGCAGGAACTTCCAGTCCCACCCCTGGAATGGAGCCAGCCTCTCCTGTCAGGACTGTGGTACAAAGCGTACTAGGATCATGTCCTAAGTGAGACACACTGCGCTGCCTGGAAGAGGTGGGGAGCTATCAGAAGGCTTCCCCTCTGGATTTCACATGGACAGGGTGCCTGGGAGATTGAGCAAGCCGGGATCGTTGAACAGGGATCCAAACAGAGGAGGGCGTCTGCCTGGCCTGGCCTGCGGCGCAGCTAGGACGAGAGAGAGAGCCATAAGTGGGTGATTGAGGGCGGCAGGCCAGGCTGAGGGGAGAGGCCTGGGCCTGGGCACCCAGGGCTTTGGGGTCCGTCCAAGGCCCCCATCTGGGAGGAAGGGCTGCAGGTGGCTCTCAGTGCAGCTTGCAGCCACCTTGGGGTTCTGGGGACCTGAGGAGCTTCTGCCATAGCTGAGGGGCTGGGGAAGGGTAGAAAGGGGTGGAGATACAGACGGGGCAGGTGTTTCTTTCCTGGGAGGGTTCACACTGCCCAAGATGCTGCCTGCTAGAGCCCGGGACCAACGGGAGGGGGCTTCTGTTTGATGCCTAATTGCTCTTGTAAAGGTAACGTTCCCCAGAGAACAGTCGCGTGGTACTGTGAGGTGCGTGAGCTGAAGAGGAAACCTCCTTCCTTCCCACCCTCGGGTTCCCCTTCTAGAGGCGAGTCCTGTGGTCAGTTCCCGATGTGTTCTAGCGGTGGTCTGTGCACGTAGAGACAGGGTGCATTACACGTAATGACCCACGCGTGCACACCCACGTCCACATGTTGCCTCTCTTGGAACAGCATTGGTTCTGTACCACGTGAGTTACTTTTCATATAACAATGTACTGGAGTCCTGTCTTCTGCTTTTCAGTGTCAGAACAGGCTGCTGTGTAGTTGCAGGATAATTAATTTAACCAGTGTCTTACTGATGGACTTTAGTTGATCCGCGTTCTTTGATACTATAAACAATGTTGCAAAACATAATCTCAAATATGTTTGTTATCTGTAGAACAACTTTCTAGAAGTGGAGATTTGGGGTCCAATGGTAGCCAGGTAAAATTTTGATCTGTTTTGCTGAAGTGCTTCCGAAGGTTGTAACCTTGACATTTTATGCTTCCCAAGAGCCACAGACAGAGAACCTGTGTTCCCTCCCCCTCGGCAACTTTCTGATCTTTGCCTGTCTGATTGGTATAAAAACGTGTCTTAGGGGAGTTTGCTCTTCTGCGTTTTCTCCAGGTGGTGAGGTTGGATGCATTCTCATATGTTTAAAAGGCATGTAGCTTTCAGAGGGAGAGCTGTCACAGTCACAGAGAAAATGGGTTTGGTGGGGTTGGCTGCAACCTGGGAAAGGTTAGCTGGGGAATTGGGCTCTTGGGGGAAAAGCTAGTTTGCCCTGGAGAGAGCCTAGAGCCCTAGGGAAAGCCCCCTCTTTCTGGGACCCCTCCACCAGGCCTAAGGCTTTCTTAAAGCAGTGATTTTTTAAACTCAGCTTGGAGCCTCCTTCACAGGGGCCAAGGTAGGGGAGGAGGGAGCAGGACCAGACTCTGAGTACCACCCCTCAGCCCCGACTGCGCCCAAGTGGCTCCCTGCTTATCTGTTTGACATGTTAGGCTTCTGGGTAAGGTTTCGCAGGAACAAAGGGTTCCAGGGCTGAACAAAGATTGAGAAGCACTGCCCTAAATCATGTCCCCTCTCCCGAGGGATAGATCGCTTTCTGCCTCCAGAGCCCATCAGTGTCTGCTGTTCCCAAGCAGGCCTGATGCTGTGGTGTCGGGAGGGGCGTGGGCGTCCCTCAGGAGACGAGGAAGTGTTCGCTGGGGTGACTGCCAGGGGCCCTGGCGGAGGGGCAGACACATGGATACACACCCCTCTTCAGTGGATACAGCCTGGTGCTCCCACAGAAATCAGGGGCCCTGACTCTGGCTGTCTTCCCCCACACCGTGTGCTTTCCTGCCTCCGTGCCTTTGTTCAGGCTCCCCCTTTCACCTGGAACACTTCCTTCTGCCCATCCACATCCTCTGCATCATCAGAGACTGGCTCCTATACTGCCTCTTCCATGAAGCCCCTTTGACCCCCCTGAGCACCCACTGGGCTTCACTTTATTCATCTTTGTGTGCGAGCCCCACCCAGGAATACAGTAGGATGGATGAATGAACAAACAAATAAATGAACGAACTACATGAGGGTGTGAAAAGTTCAGAAACTCCACTCTGAGACCCGTGTTTCCCATCTACAATGGTGTTTCCACACACAATCTTATCTCACCAAATTGACCCCGATACCCTGACTGACAGGACAGCAGCATCTGGGTTTGCCTCATCTCTGTCACCTCTGTGGGGTCTTGCATATAGAAAGGAGAGAGGAGACGAGGCGGAATGGAGGCAATGGAGAATGGGGCTCTTGTGTCAGGGTAGAAGGCTTCTTGGAAGAAGTGGCATTTGAGACAAACGGTGAGGGATGAGGTACAGGAAAGAAGTGAATGATTTTGACGGGTGGGGGTGGGGCTGGGAGGGAGGCTGATCCAGGCGGGGATGCAGGAGCCCTCCTTCTGGAGTGAGTGCTCAGAGTCCACTGGGCAGGGACACAGAAGGGGAGAGAGGGCCCCCGGAAAGGGGCTTGAATAAGTGGGCTGGGGCCCTGCTGTGTCAGAGGGCACGGGGTGCCAGCTGGAGAGGCCTGAGCTTCTCTGCACAGTGGGCGTGGTGTGAGCAGGAAGCCGGGAGACCTGCCGAGATGGACCCGAGGAGATGGCAGGGTGGGCCGAGGCAGCGGTTGGTGGGGAGGGAAGATTTCCCGGGCTTGGCGGCCAGTGGTGAGAGGTGGATGCAGAGGGGACAAGCCTGTGTGTTGCCCCGAGTTACGTGCCTGGGGAGGGCCAGGGTGTCATAAGAGAAACAGAAGTCAGGAAAAGGTGCTGTAGTTATAAAAGTAATCCATGCTTCTGAGAAATTCAGGCTGGAATAAAAGGTGGGAAATACCAGTCCCCTAAGCCAGTTCCTCTTGTCCTCTCCAGAGGTGGCTAGATATATTTTGAAGGAAGAAATGACGAGCCCTGGGGACAGAGGGAGTGCAGGGAAAGCAGAGTGAGGGCAGGTAGATTCTGGTCAGGGAGACCGGTGGGTCCAGGTGCCTCTGCAGAAACGGGGCCTGGGGAGGGCACAGATAGTTGGGGCATCGTGTGTGTGAGGAGAGGGTGGGTCAGGCTGCCCCGAAAGTGACTGGGGTAAGTGGGAGCAGGAGGTGGGAGAGCTCTCCTTCTGAGCGAGGGGAGGGGATGTTGCAGCTGGTGCCAGAACCTTGAGGGGTGTCTGCCCAAGCTCCTTCCCTCCCTCTTGGTGGCACCCCGGTGGCTCTCGTGGTCCCTCTCCTGACTGCCACCCTCTCCTCCTCAGACTCCGCACCTGGTGAACCTGAATGAAGACCCCCTGATGTCCGAGTGTCTGCTCTATCACATCAAAGATGGCATCACCAGGTAGCGTTTGCCCACAGCCTGTGGGGCAGCCTCTCCCTCTGGGGTGTGGTTGCAGAGGGATGGCCGCACTGGTGACTCCTTTCCCTAGTGACCTCACTGGGGACACCCCAGATCTCAGGACAGCATCTTTGCGGGCCTGCTTGCTCTGGGCTTCCTGAGAACTTACTGGGCCTGGGACCAAACCAGCCCAGTGCTTGTGGGGATAGGTTCTGATCTACTGGCACAGAGAGTAGGTGGGAACTTGGATCACCGGTTCTTAGCGCCCAGCACCATTGCCTTGGCATCCCTTTAAGGGGACCCTCCCCTTGTGGGGAGAAGGGCAGTGCCCACAGGGCAGGTGGCTTCTCTGGGCTAATGTTAACAAACCCCTGGGACTCAGCACTTCTGAGGTCCTTCCTCTCCCACCACAGGCTGTACAGCTGTCTTTGGTGACCATCAGGGGAGGGATGGGGCCTGAGGCTGAGGTCACCCACCCCCCTCCAGATTCCCTTTCCCCTTTGCTGTGTAGCAATGAGGACGCAGGCTTTGGAGTCACCTAGATCTGGGCTCAAATTCCGGCTTTACCATTGCCGGGCTGCATGACCTTGGGCAAGTTACTAACCTCTCTGAGCCTCAGCTTCCTCATCTGTGAAATAGGAATATCTATGCTTGGCTCACTGAGTCGGATGAACTGGTGTTCAGAAGGGGCTTGGTGCACGTGTGACTGGCACATGCTCAGAAAATGTTGGCTGTTGCTTCCCCAGAGTCGGCCAGGTGGACGTTGACATCAAGCTGACCGGGCAGTTCATTCGGGAGCAACACTGTCTGTTCCGGAGCATCCCTCAGCCAGACGGAGAAGGTAATGGCTGAGGGAGTGCGCGTGGAGTGGGCAGACACAGAGAGAGGCAGGTCCCGCGTGCCCCCACGATGAGTGTGGAGGTCTGGGTCGGGCACTGGGAGCATGGCTGTGTGAGGTGGGGGTGTGTCCTCGCCCTGAGAGGGGCTTCGAGCTCCCGGTCAGTAGTGGGGCCCGGCTGTCTGCACCCACCCTCAGAGTGCAGACTGTTAGAATGGGTGGGGGGTGGCAGCGAGGGTCCCCAAGGCAGAAACAGAAGCCTATGGCTCTGGAGGAGGAGGTTTTGAGGAAGGGGATATCCTACCCTCTTCCTTGATTTTTTTTAGCCTCAAATAGCACCTTGATCATTTTCTATGAAAATTTGTCCTTTTTTCAGTGGGATATCTGAATTTATCTCCCAAAACTCGCTTTAAATTTATCTCCCAAAACTCACTTTTCTGGCCACCTATGACTACAGAGGTTTCAGGCAGTTAATGAACCCATGTAGCCCTTTGGTTCCAAAACTCTTAGAGGTTTTAGTCCTTTATGACCACAGCTGCAAGAGCTTTTGGTGGGGAGGGTATAGCTCAGTGGTAGAGTGTGTGCCCAGCAAGCATGAGGTCCTGGGTTCAATCCTCAGTACCTCCATTAAAAAAAAAAAGTGGATAAATAAAAGCTTTATTACCTCCCCGCCAAAATAAAATAATTTAGAAAAAGCTTTTAGGCATCACGAGCCATCAGGATGAAGGTCGTAGCCTTTCTGACAGGTAATGAAACAGTGCTCGTGAGGCCCAGGGTGTGTTTTGAGGTCACCATTTTGTTTGTTTGTTTGTTTGTTCTGGGGGGGCAGTAATATTTATTTATTTATTAGTAGAGGCCCTGAGGATTGAACCCAGGACCTCGTGCCTGCTAAGTGTGCGCTCTACCACTGAGTTATAGACTCCCTGCTGGTTCAGTCATTTTTAAAAAATGGAATGATTTGGGCCCAAGTGAAGTTGAGCTCTGGGAAGGGAGTTGGGCAGGGAGGCTGGCTGTGTCACACCTGAGCTCTCAGGTCTGACATCCCCCGGGGGATGGGGGACAGGATGCGGGGCCGTGTGGTCAGTGCATGTTTTAAAATAAGAAGACCACCTCACATGACCTGCCACTCAGGTTGAAGACCTGCCCGCCCACCCGATGGGCTTCAGTTCCGTTCAGGGTCAGCAGATTAACACAGTCGTTCTGGTCTGGTTCATGTCCCCAGCGGCAGCAAGCACTTCCGGCATTGCGGGCTGCGAGCTGTGGAATCAGTTCAGCCCAGTGAGTTATTGCCAAGTTCCTGTTCTGCGGTTCCCCCAAGCCATGTGCTCGGGTGATAACGAAACCACACAGGCCCGCGGAGCCAGCCCACCCTCGGGAGCTCCGAGTGTTTTGGGGGAGATGATGGGCCCACGTTGGTGACATCACACTGAAAGCAGCCGATGTAGGATGGGGGATATATATAAAGGGTTTGTGCGTTTGGGCCTTTGTTCTTACAGCAGGTTTAAGACCTGACCAGAGACAGGCAGAGAAGAGCAAGCGGCAGGGACAGAGGTGCGGATCGAGAGAAACAGTTATTACCGACTGTCTACTTTGTATTTTCTCACACAGGTCTCAGATAAAGGAGCTGAGGTCCCCAGGGGTTAGGGAATTTGCCCAAGACCACACCACACAGCTAGAAGGTGGCAGAACTGGATTGGGACACAGTAGGGCAGGCTCCAGGGCCCATGCTCTGAGTCCTGGGTGGCCCCAGGCCAGATTGCTATGGGTTCGTGCCCGCCGAGAAGGCTGCCCTGGCCAGGCTGGAGCGAAATCTTGCCTGGCCCACTTTCCCTCCATAACAGCTGTCCCCCTCCAACCTCAATTTTAGATTATTCACTGAATTACTTGTTTATCATCTTTCTTCCCAGCTGGAAGTGAGCTCTGTAAGAGCAGGGATTTTGAGTTTTCTCTCCCCTGTATTTCCAGGATCTAAAATATAAAATAGTGCCTGGCATATCATAGGCGTGCAATATATTTGTGGAATGGATGAATGAATTTGAGGCATACTGGGAAATAAGGGCAGACATAGACTGGTACCCATTACAGCCACCCCATCCTTCCCTCTGCCGCCTTCTTCCATTGCTGTTCTCGGACACACAGGGATGCTTTAGCTCTGTCTGCCTCCTCCTTCTCCATCGTTTCTGCCCCTTGAAATCCGAGTCTCCCTTCAAGCATTGGCTCAGAAGTTACCACTTTCCCATAATCATTTCCAGTCCTCAGCCCCTAAGCTGAGTTCCTCTTTGCTTTCTTTGTATTCCCACAGCGTCAGTAGGCTCGCCTTCTGTTACTATTCATTCTGTTTTCTCTATTACTTTTAATGTAAATAAGAACTCACTTTGGCACATCAGTTTATTCGAGCCTTTCAGCCACTCTGTAAAGAAGGACTTTGTTATCCCATTTTATAGCTCACAGAAGTCAGGTGACTTGCTTAGTGTCCCTCAGTTAAGGAGTCACAGAGCCTGGGTCTTTGGCATACGGGGGTGCCACCGTGATAACGGGGCACTGGTCCTCGAGGGGAGAGAGCTGCCTCAGGCATCTTTGTGTCCCAGCAAGCAGCAGGCTTGTACCAGGAGCATCTCAATAGATGTTTGGATTGGGTTGACTTTACCTCATCCTGGGAAGATAGTGATCTGTTGACTGTGGCTTGAGACGATTAATCAGGTGGCAGTTTGCAAGAGGCATCAGACAGAAGTGGGCTGGGAGCCTGCTGAAGGAATCCAGACCTGGGCTGGTCCTATGGAAAGGAAGGAGTGGTCATCTGGAAGGCAGAAATGCAGGGCTTGCAGACCAGTTAGACCCAAGACACCAAAGCCCTCTGAGGATTGTGGGCTTGCTAAGCCAATGTTGGGAGGATGGTGGTGGGTGGGAAGGGAGCCCCGCAGAGGTCCCTCGGGACCATAGCTGGGGCTCTAACCCTCCTTCTGCTCTTCCTTTCCTGTGCTGCCTGCCACCAGAGGGGCCAAGGCACCCCCGACAGGTACTGGGGTGGGATTGGGGATGCATGTGTGCTTCTGGGCTATTGCAGGGTGGGAATCTGTGACCATAGCCCTCTTCCCCCGGGGTCTGACCACTCCCTTTCCTCTCTCCCTGCCTCAGTGGTGGTCACCCTGGAGCCCTGTGACGGAGCTGAGACCTACGTCAACGGGAAACTCGTGACTGAGCCCGTGGTGCTGAAGTCAGGTAGAGGCGGGTGCAGTGAGGGTTCTGGGCCCTGGCTGCAAGGAGGGTCTTCCTGGGTGAATCCTGGGCAGGACCCAGAAACAAATAGGAAACAGCATGGGGACGTTAAGGAGTCAGGTTTGGTTTCTCTTGCTGCCTCAGGGATATAGGAAGAGGATGCCAAGCTCTCTGATTCCCCTCGGCTGTCCGGGACAGGCTGGTTCCCGGGGTCAGCTAGGGGATCCTGGCTCTGACTTCCATCCAGCTTGGGGCGGTGGGAGAGATGGTGAAAGGCCCCTGGGATTTGGGCGTGAGGAGGGGTTTGCTGCTTTGGGGGAGTGAGTCCACTTTTCCATCCTCCCTTCTCCAGGGAATAGGATTGTAATGGGCAAGAACCACGTTTTCCGCTTCAATCACCCGGAGCAGGCCCGGCTGGAGCGGGAACGAGGGGTTCCCCCGCCCCCAGGACCACCCTCTGAGCCCGTCGACTGGAACTTTGCCCAGAAGGAGCTGCTGGAGCAGCAAGGCATCGACATCAAGCTGGAGATGGAGAAGAGGTGCGTGGGGAGGTTGCTGGTGCCCCGAGGCCCTCCCGGCTGTCCCTCCCAGGCCCCCAGCCCCCGGCGCCCTCCTGTTGGCAGACACCCCACTGAGGTGGCTCCAGAACCCACAGAGCTCTTCCCTCCCACCCCCACAATCTCAGGTTGCAGGATTTGGAGAACCAGTACCGAAAAGAAAAGGAAGAGGCTGATCTTTTGCTGGAGCAGCAGCGGCTGGTGAGGTGCTGGGCGGGTAGGGGCGCTGCATGGGGCAGGCAGAGGTGGGAGGTGGGCTGGTGGGCATGGCACTTCAGTCTGACTGCAAATTGGGAAATCAGAGTGGGCAGTGGGCCCAGGGCAGTTGGGATGGCGTCTAGGAGGAGACAGGAATGAATGTAACTTGGGGAGGAACCCATGTGTGCAGGGAACTAGGGTTCCTTCCAGGTGCCTGGGGCTTCCTGGATGCTAGCCCATCCTGTGCCACCTTTGATTTTTACCAAATCCAAGTACCACCCATGTTATTATTTACTTGGGATTCTTCTTTAAATGGAAGTTTAAGAGTGAGGGTACAGCTCAAGGGGTAGAGTGTGTGCTTAGCATGCACAAGGTTCTGGGTTCGATCCCCAGTACCTCCTCTAAAAATAAATAAACCTAATTACCTCCTTCCCCCCAAATTAAAAAAAATACGGTAAATAAAATTTTTTAAAAATGGACTTTTAAATATCTAACCTCATAGTGAACAACAACACATATGCACGAAACCTGTCTTGGTGTGGCTACAGCTAACACTATGGTCACTTTCTCTGCCCTGGTCACTGTTCCACACACTCTGGGGATGTTAATCCTCGTATCTGGGAGGGAGGTGCTGTCATTACCTCCGCTGTGTAGAGGAGCAGAGGTCTAACCCACCACTGCGCAGTTCTGCCCACAGTGTTTCCATGTCGCTGGAACACATGGCTCTGGGGAGTCCTTAGCCCTCTCCCCCTCCGTCTTCTCTCTCTCCCGCCCCAGTATGCGGACTCTGACAGCGGGGACGACTCGGACAAGCGCTCCTGCGAGGAGAGCTGGCGGCTCATCTCGTCCTTGCGCGAGCAGCTGCCCCCCACCACGGTCCAGACCATCGTCAAGCGCTGCGGCCTGCCCAGCAGTGGCAAGCGCAGGGCCCCCCGCAGGGTGTACCAGATCCCCCCAGCGGCGGCGGCTGCAGGGCAAAGACCCCCGCTGGGCCACCATGGCCGACCTGAAGATGCAGGCGGTGAAAGAGATCTGCTACGAGGTGGCCCTGGCCGACTTCCGCCATGGGCGGGCCGAGATCGAGGCCCTGGCCGCCCTCAAGATGCGGGAGCTGTGCCGCACCTATGGCAAGGCCGAGGGGCCCGGAGATGCCTGGAGGGCCGTGGCCCGGGATGTCTGGGACACGGTGGGCGAGGAGGAAGGCGGTGGAGGCGGAGGTGGCGGCAGTGAGGAGGGAGCCCGCGGCGCGGAGGTGGAGGACCTCCGTGCTCACATCGACAAGCTGACTGGGATCCTGCAGGAGGTGAAGCTGCAGAACAGCACCAAGGACCGCGAGCTGCAGGCCCTGAGGGATCGCATGCTCCGCATGGAGAGGGTCATCCCACTGACCCAGGTAGGCAGGGCCTACCACCCGGCTTCTCCCCGGGGAGCCTGAACCTCCCACCACAGATTCCAGCTTCCTTCCCCCTCTTCCTTTAAAAAGTCTTATCCAAGTTGAACGCAGCTTTGCTCAGCATACTTGGTGAATCACCTGCCTTACAATCACCAGGGCACTCATTGATAATGCAGATTCCTGGGTTCTGCCCCAGACCTCCTGGATCAGCATCTTTGGGGATGAATCTGCATTTATAATAAGTGCCCAGGTGTTTCTGAAGTACAGTGAAGTCTGAGAACCACTAATATAGAAGGTATAGCTTTTAAGTTACTCCTCCATGAGTGTTCAGACCCGGCTCCAAGGGGACCCTTGACTCTGTTAGTCACTGTGCTGAGCGCGTTTTCCTGGGTCACCATGTAAAGCTTCCCAGCGGCCCTGGAGCAGTCATATTATCACCTCTCCCTGTTTTGCATGCATTCACTCAACAAGTACGTATTTGAGTGTTTGCTGTGTGCCAGGCGCTGTGCCAGCTGCTGCGGTTACTCAGCATTTCTGCTGTGTCCCAGCTTGCCTCCTGGGGGGGTGACAGGCAGCAGTTGTGGTTCTTGAAGGCTTACTGCTCCAGGCGCAGCTCCTACCCCTCCCTCCTCGCCCTCCCCTCTCCAGCCTCTCTGGCTTCCTTGCTGTTCCTTGAACTTACTGGACACACTCTTGCTTCAAGGCCTTTGCACCTGCTGTTCCCTCTGCCTAGGATGCCCTTCCCCTTGATAACAATACAGCTTGGCCTGCCCTTCCTTCAGGTGTTCACTAAAATGACAGCTTCTCAGGGACTCCCTTTCTGTCCTCTCACTGCAGGTACCCCCCCCAACCCTGGTCTCCTGACTCTCTTCTTTCCTCTAGTGTTTTCCATGCAAACATGTACTTTTTCTTATAATTATATAAAATATATAACATGGTACTCTATACCTACATATAAGATAAATATATACTAAGCAATTGAAATTTATGTGTCTATATTTAACTTTTTATGGAGGTACAATGTGTGTACCACACTATATATTCTTCTTACTCATTTGTCTCAGCTCCTGAAAATGATGGCAGTTGTTCTTCTTCCCTTTGTTGTTGACTGCGGTATCCCCAGGCACATCGTGTGTTCGGCAGTATTTGCTGAGTGCCCACCTGTGAGGCAGGGTCGTTTCTCATGTAACCTCACAGCAGCCCTGTGCAGTAGGGCCTGTCATCACTGACGTCATCTTACACTGATCCCGACCCACGGCTGGGACGTGGTGGACTGGGACTGAGTCAGAGCACCTGGCTCCAGACCTGGGCTCCTGAGCCCCTGTCCCTCTGGCTCCCTCATCCTCTTGGGACCCCTGGACATTCAGCTGCTCCAGGGCCTCCCAGCTTGTCCTCCCGCATCCGCAAATCTTCAAGACCCCCCTCCCCTCACGGCCCTTTCTCTCACCCCCTCTCCCTGCCAGGATCATGAGGATGAGAATGAAGAAGCTGGTGAAGCCACGTGGGCCCCGCCCCAGGGGTCCGAGGCAGAGGAGGAAGCCCCCAGCGACCGCACACCCCCTGCCCGGCCCTCCTCGCCGCCTCTGTCAAGCTGGGAGCGGGTGTCGCGGCTGATGGAGGAGGACCCTGCCTTCCGCCGGGGCCGCCTTCGCTGGCTCAAGCAGGAGCAGCTACGGCTGCAGGGACTGCAGGGCTCCGGAGGCCGGGGTGGTGGGCTGCGCAGGCCCCGGCCCGCTTCGTGCCCCCCACGACTGCAAGCTGCGTTTCCCCTTCAAGAGCAACCCCCAGCACCGTGAGTCCTGGCCAGGGGCAGGGGCTG